GGAACCGCAGTGGGTTGGGGCTGCGGCGGTGGCGGGCAGGGGGCTTTCACTTTTAATCTGTCACTTTATTTTATTATTTGATAGTTAGCAAAGTAGGCCCACACAATGAATTTATTCTGGATATGGTTTTGTTACATTGAAAGTATTTAGACTTAATTTTTATGTTGATCAGTGTCATTTAAGATCTAATGATAAAACTAATTGAATCTCTGTTGTATGTTGGCACTGTAATCCTCAGAATGACTCCCACCACCAAAACAAATGAGAGAGGTTATTTATTACTAATCTATTATATAGATGAAGATCCTGAAGCTTAGAGAGATTAAGTAACTGGCTTAGAGAGGAATTATATCATTATGGTTAAGAGCAATTACTTATCCTCTCAGTGTCCCAGTTTCCTTATCCATAAAGTGGGGGTCACATGATTTTTAAAGTCTAGCACATAGTAGGTGCTTTATGAGTTACAACTGTATTTACCAAGGATTTATAGCTAATAAAGTGGAAGAGCTAAGATTGAAATTGAGATCTGTCTGATTTCAAAGCTTATGTAATTTCTGCTAAGCTATCATGTTACAAGGATTTCTTAACTCTTCAAAAGATTAAGATGGCCCTTTTAATTTTCATACTTTTCTGACTTTGTTTATGAACAGGTTTTTTTTTTTTTCTGTTATGGCTAAAGCAATAGTAAAGAATAACTTCGTACTTAACTGTCTTTTTGTATGATTTGCTAGAATTCTGATGATACCACATCAGAAGTCTTGATTTCATAATAAAACATAGGGTTCTAGAATTGGAGGAGACCATGTAGGTCATTTATTTACTACCCTCTTGCACTACAAATGAGAAGCTAGATAGACTTGGGACTACAACCCAGGTCTTCTATGTAGAATTATTATTTTCCCCATTACTTTATCTTAGATCACTTGAAAGGAAAGCTTTATCCCTACTGAGTGAATAAAATTAGTTTTAATTTTTATGCAATAGGTATTGTCTTTTCTAATGTTATGTATGCACCTGTTCTCACTCCGCCTCCTTTATAATCATATTTCAGAAAGTGGAAGCGCAAGAACGAGAAGATTTAATGGCTGGAATGGCCGGAAAAGCAGTAAAAGGTAAAGTTGGGAAACCTAAGGTGAAGAAACTTCAACTGGAAGAGACAATGCCCTCGCCTTATGGCAGGAGGATAGTTCCTGAAATCACTGCTATGAAGGCAGATGCTAGCAAAAAGTTGCTGAAGAAGAAAAAGGTATGACATATCTCTTGTTTTAGCTCATTGGTAGACTCCACCTCCATAATGATGTATATATGTATTTTAATTTCACTATTTGCTTAAATAATGCTTTTCTTGTTTCTAATATATTCACTTGTGATGGGAAATCATTTGTTCTATGAGAGCAGTTTACCCAAAGGAGGAAAACATTAGTCAAGGAACCACATATGTAAAGAGTCACCTACTTGATTTCATTTTTTAAAGTGAGAAATAGAAATACTCTACTCAGCAGCATTCTAAATGAAAATCATGGAACAACAAAAAATATATATATTAAATTTAAAATATAAACTTTATTACTATATCATGACAAATTAAGAAAGTTTTATAGTGGAAAAGGATTTGTTTGGCTATTAAAATAAGCTACCATGTTTTACTATTTAGTTGTTTTTACTATTAGTTAAAAAATCATCAAGTACATCTTATGTCATTGGCATTGATTGGTACTATTTAGGATTTAAAAGTATGAGACTTACACCCTCCAGCACATGGGCAAGAGTTAGCTAGAAGAAGGAAACATTGAGAATATTGTTCAGAGCAGAGGAAACAGGAGGGCATGATGTTCTGAAAGAGAGAGGCTAATTTTTCTGCCCATATTGATTTTAGAACTCAGGCGATAGGTAGGTAGGTAGGTAGGTAGGTAGGTAGATAGATAGATAGATAGATAGATAGATAGATAGATGTGCCCAACAGTGTAATTAGAGCTTGGAAAATGAGCCTAAGAGCTGGAGTGAGAGATTGGTACAGAGCTAAGATTTAAAGTATAGAAGCACTGTGATATCAGAGAGATCACTCTCTGCTACTGTTCTAATAAACTGAGGTCTCTACTGCTTCCCTCTTATCTGGCTCCCCACCACACACAGGTTAATGTAAACATGCACTTGCTTTCTCCTTAGGGAAATGCCTGCTCTCCTCTTTAGTTGGTGTGTGTCAGGTTTAGTTCTCAGCACTGTTCTCTTCATCTTACATAGTTCTCTTGAGTAACATAGTCTATGCCCAGAGCTTTTCCCACTCACACAGTGACTCTTAAATCTTTGTCCCTAAGCTTCTCAGGAGTGCCAAGCTACTATAGCTATTTAAATGTCCAAAGCCTTTCAAACTCAGCATTTTTGAAACTGGACTTACCCTAATTTCAAAACCACTTTTTCCACCTCTGTACTTTATCTCAGTTACTAGCAACATCAGCCATCACTAACATAAACCAAAAACTTGGGAATTTTCCCATATAATCAGTAACTAAATCATACTGACTTCTTGTGAAGCAATTCTGAAATCTACCTCCTTATCTCGGTTCCCATTAATACTATCTTAGGATTTGATGTTTTCTCTGAGATAATTTAAAGGGGTCCTCTTCACTAGTCTTCCTATCTGTAGTCATCTAATCAGGACTTCTACCTTTTTCCACTTCATTCCTATGGCAGGAGGATTTTGTAATCTCTTACTTCTAGAGTGATATTTCCAAAAAGTAAGTCTGATTATTATACAAATGCTTAAGAGTTTTCAGTGACTCCCCACTGAATACACACAGACTCCTGTACACAGTGATTTAGCCCCTGCATGCCTCCCTGTGTTTCTGTATGACTAATCTTTCCTCTCACCTAGTCTTGAATCCTAGCAGACTATTCGTAATTCTCTAAACAATGTGGTGATTCATGCCTCTGTGTCTTTTGCCAGGATGCTCTTCCTTCCTTCCTTCTTACCTGGCAAACATGATTACTTCAAAACCCATCAGAAAGGCCCCTCATGGAGTCTTCCCTGACCTTGTCCTAGGCAGAGTTGCTCACTCCTTCCTATGGGTCACTGTTATATCGCCTTGTATATTTATTTGTATTGTAATGACTTGTATCCTCTCTCTCAATAATCTTAGAGTCAGAGGACTTTGTCTTATAATGCCTAGCAGTGCATGACTTGTGTTTCTTATTTTCCCTCAATCTGAAGATTTTTTTCTAGTATATAGAGACCAGAACTATAGCAACTTATTTTGCAGGTAACTTTTGGTGTACTTAGCTATTGGTCTTAATGCCCCATTGATAATCAAAAGCGGCCTTATGTTTTTTTTATCCACAGCAGTAAAAGTGGAATGTGATGAAGAATTCAGCGGAACACCAGTAGAAGGCACAGGAGAAGAAGCACTGATCCAGGCAGTGCCTGTAAATAAAGGTCCCAAACCCAAAAGGGAGAAAAAAGAGCCTGGTGAGGATTTCTAACGTATTATTTTGTGTGAGAAAAATCTGTATATTTAGAGTATTACCAGATTCTTTTGACTGTGCTTTTTTTTGTTTCGAATAGTTTAATATCTCCAATGTTCATTAACATTTGTTATTTTAGAATAAACTTTTCATTATAACAGTTTTATTTTTGCTAATGGCATTTGTAGAAGTGTTGATACATGTATCATTGTTCTTCTTTTGGTTTTAGGTACCAGGGTGAGAAAAAGAAAAGCATCTACATCATCTGGCAAACCTAGTGCAAAGAAAGTGAAGAAACGGAATCCTTGGTCAGATGATGAGTCCAAGTCAGAAAGTGACTTGGAAGAAACAGAACCTGTGGTTATTCCAAGAGATTCTTTGCTTAGGAGAGCAGCTGGTATTGATACATTTTATATTCATTTTACTGTATGTTGTAGTTCAACCAAGTTAGTGATACTCATATAAGTTGGTATTGTTAGTACTACCAATATAACTAAAGGGCTAAACCATTAGTGTTTCAGAAGTTATAGTTCAAGAAGACAGAAATTTCCTTACCGAATGATTTTTTTCTAGCAAAGTTGGACATAAAACAAATTTTCCTAAAATGAATCATGTTTTCTTTTATTGTTTCTATTAAATTTATTGGGGTGACATTGGTTAATAAGATTATATAGGTTTCAAATATACATTTCTATGACACATGATCTATATATTGTATTGTGTGTCCCCCACCCAAAGTCAAATTGTTTTCTTACTGATGTTTATTATCAATAGTTTGATGATTTTGGTTAAAAGAAAAATAGTATTTTGGTAGTATCCTAAGAGTGGTGGGTCAATAGTAACTTTGTAATTGCAGAAATGGGAAATCTTATATTTATAGTCACTTTTACATTGGCCATAATAACTACTTTCCTGTTTTTAAGTAATATTTAAGTATTATTCTAAAAATTAATCTCATCAGTTTATGCTCTCCTAATATCTGCAGCATTATTATTACCCCAGAGCCTCCTGAGAATTACAAGATAGATAGATGTTAACACTATCAAAACTGAGGCAAAATTATTGGCGTTTATTCTCTAAATGCTTATCTCTTTTTTTCCTCAAGTATTTTTAGAGATAATTGGAATATTTTTGTTTTTGTCTAGTTGTCTATCCCTTATATCTGTAAGGGAGTCTGATTCCAGTCACTTTGCATAATTTAGATAATTGCAGTCATAGCCTGCAGATTTCCATTTTTTTATTATATATATTGCCGTTAAGCATGTGATTTGATCATGTCTGAATATTCATTAACTTGAAGTTTTCAAATAATTTAAAACTGATACATGTCCTATTTTATAGATTCTTCTCAAAATTTAAGTCCTACCTAATTATGTAAAATAAATAATAGAGCATTATGGTTGTTTTACCTTTGGGAGATACTTTTTAAATTATATCTCAGGCCTTAAATTTTTGGTTCTCTAATCACAAAGTGATTGAATTTCTTTTCCTAATGTGTATAAGTAGTGCAATATATATGGATTTTACAATGTGCAACTTAAGTTATGTGAAAATTAGTTTACTCAAATTATGTTTTTTCCATATATCTGGAATGAAGTAAAAACTTCTACAGTATCCAAATGATTTTTAAATTTTATTTCATAGCATATGCTAGAAATTATAATAAAAGTTATTTGTAGTATACCAATGTGCCTTTTCCCATAGCAGATACCTTTTTTAATACATATTATTATCTTGCATATTGAGATCTTACCTCTTTTTCTTATTCATCTGAAAAATTACGATCTCTGTTATTTTGTAGTAAAACTACCATGAATAGAAGATAGGAGTTTTGTGAAAAAGGTTAAGAGAAAGATTTGCACTTTTAAAAGACCTGTAAACTTTGTAATTGCAGAAATGGGAAATCTTATATTTATAGTCACTTTTACATTGGCCATAATAACTACTTTCCTGTTTTTAAGTAATATTTAAGTATTATTCTAAAAATTAATCTCATCAGTTTATGCTCTCCTAATATCTGCAGCATTATTATTACCCCAGAGCCTCCTGAGAATTACAAGATAGATAGATGTTAACACTATCAAAACTGAGGCAAAATTATTGGCGTTTATTCTCTAAATGCTTATCTCTTTTTTTCCTCAAGTATTTTTAGAGATAATTGGAATATTTTTCAAATGCGTTACTCATCCTATTTTATGTGGATAAAGCTGGATTTGATTATAACATTAACTTTCACTTTTCTCCTAGCTGAGAGGCCTAAGTACACATTTGATTTCTCAGAAGAGGAGGATGATGATGCTGATGATGATGATGACAATAATGACTTAGAGGAATTAAAAGTTAAAGCATCTCCCATAACAAATGATGAGGAAGATGAATTTGTTCCTTCAGATGGCCTAGATAAAGATGAATATACATTTTCACCAGCCAAATCAAAAGCTACTCCAGAGTAAGTAATGAAGCAACTGCTACTCAATTGTATGGTTCAGTTTGATTAGGCATCCATCAAAGACCTTACTGTAAACTTTGGATAAGAAATTGTTATTCTAGGTAAGGTCCGCTTCATGAAGCAGTAAATTTGGTTAATATTGCAGCTGTTGACATAACTGTTGCTATAGTTTTAGAACATAGGTTGGCAAAATTTGTTCCATTAAGGGCTCAATAATAAATATTTTAGACTTTGCAGACCATATAATCTCTGCCACTAATATTCAGTCTTGCTGATGTAGGAAGAAAACAGCCATAAACAATATGTAAAAGAACAAGTGTGCGGTTTCCAGTAAAACTTTATTTACAAAAATTGGCAGCAGGCCTGTGGGACATAGTAGTTAATAAATCTTTAGAGATAGGAAGTTTAGTTTTCTTTCCTAATTTTGGCCTTGATTTTTCTTGCTTCTGATGAGTCTGAACACTAACATGACTAACATGTAGGATGTGAAGTGTATGAGCTATTTAAGATTTTTTAAGAAGTATTTTACCACATGCAGTCTAAGATAAAAAATAGGATTATTGCCTACTCTTGTGCATATTAGAAACAAATGAGAGAACAATCTTTTGTTCTATGATTATAATCTTGCAGTATATACTATATATAATTTGTCAAAGTTGAAACCAGATATTTAAATTACATTGTGGTGTTTAATTTTTCTTTCTAACAGAAAATCTTCACATGACAAAAAACCTCAGGATTTTGGGAATCTCTTCTCATTTCCTTCATACTCTCAAAAGTTAGAAGATGGTATGTTCATTTTGTCTTTTCATTGGTTACTTATTGCTGTGATTTAGTGGGGAAGAAAAAGAAACAGTAGATAACTCATTACGTCATGATTTAATTTCAGGATGTTTTTATGACTAGATATCTTTTCTTTTTAACATTCTTTTTACATTTTCCTCAATGTAATAAGGTTTATTTACTTTTCCTGAGGTTATTCCCAACTCTTTGGTCAAAGTAGGCATTATGGAAGCACTTAGGTAGATAGGCAGATGCTAACCAGTGTGAGTGAGTGTAGGGAGTATGGGTGTAGAGGGGGTGTTTTAATGAGAGAAAAAATGTAGAAAGAAAATTTTAAAGATTGAAATCTTATTTTCATGGCAACATGAATGTATACACGATAGTTTTTTAAAAAGTTACTAGGGTAGCAATGTACAGATTTGTTTTACTAAACCGAAGCAAATTTAATCAGGGTGTATATTTTTTTATGACCGATATTTTTGTGTGTGGAATTTTTAACATCAAAACAATCTGGTTAGACTGAACTGACTGTCTTGAGTTTTTTAACTCACATAGATCTTGTACATGCTCTATACGTATAGATAGATTTGCACTTTTTTGTTGTTGTTAATCCTCACCAGAGGATATATTTTTGCATTGATTTTTAGAGAGAGTAGAGAGGAGAGAGACACGCATCAATTGGTAGTCTCCCAAACATGTCCAGGCCTGGGATTGAACCTGCAATCCAGGAACATGCCCTTGACCCGAATCGAACCCGCAGTCCTTTGGCTCACGGGCCAACGTTTCAATCACTGAGCAACACTAGTCAGGGCTAGATAGATATACTTACTACTGTCTTACATTTGGTCATTATTACTTTAATTCTTGAAATGGTTAATAGCATTAAATGTGTAGATACTAAAATAATCACAGTGAGAGATTTTTCATATCTCACTTTAAAATAAATCATCAGTATTTATTTTTGAATTGGTCAGTTAACTTTTAAATGTTTAGCCTTTGAGACTATTAAAAAATTCATTATGCATTTCTTTACTGTTTTAAAACAGTTAACATTTTTGAAATATGTTATATTTTTTATTTTCAGCTGTTTGTATATTGTGGATTATAAGATCACAGAAAAGAAACTTGTAAGATCAATTACCTAGCTAAAAAGAAATCAGCAATAAAAAGAATCAAAGTGTAATTATTAAGTGGTCCTTACAGAATCTCTTTACTGAAAAAAAGCTTTGTAATTTTTAGATTCAGCTAAATTTGACAGTAATGAAGAAGATTCTGCTTCTGTTTTTTCACCAACATTTGGCCTGAAACAAATAGATAAAGTTCCAAGTAAAACAGCAGCTGCTAAAAAGGGTATGTACTATATTTGATTTTTGTAAGCATTGCATAACCATGTAGTTGATGTCAAAGGAAATTTAATATAAATTGAAACTAGTTGCACTAGGATTTCACTAGGCTAGTTGTCAAGTATAAATGTGTATAAAGAGAATCCCTCTTGTTTTCTAACCATGTGAGGTAATTAGCAATGATTTTAAGACTGTAATTATAATAATCCCATGCATTGATACTAAAGATAGTATAGATAGTAAAGTAGATTAAAATTTTATTTTGCTAGTAGCCTGACTGTATTATCTATGCAGGTCATGCCTTAACTCCTCTATGTGGAATGATTGGTCAGTTCAGTTGGGGTCCTCTTTTTCTTTGAGTCATAGGATGTCTTTTTCTTAACCTTAAGATTGTCTATGAAACACTAAGTTGATTCATGAATTTGTTACTAGTACTAAGGTACATACCTTGGTATTTTTAAAGAAGGTATTAGTGCTTTGTGTTTAAAAGATAATTGCTACTTCCACAGCAAGTAAACAAACAGTATGGATTGTCCCTTCAGGATCTTAAAAATGCACAATAGACAACACTATTATAGAAACACATGTATTAGATGTAACAGAACAACAACAAAAGTCCCTACTTATTCTGAATGTACTAGTGAGCAATTAGGTGCCCTTGCCTTACCACTTCAGTGCATATGAGGCATGTCTATATTTCTTTGCCTCGGGACTTTCTATTGCTATGCTGGAATATTAACATTTCCCTATGCAAGCACCTCTGTGATTGAGGAAAGCTGGTCTGCAAGTATCTTACTGCTCTTGACCCTCTGGGATATGTCTTCTTACATATCCCAGAGGGTCAAGAGATTCTTCTTGGGATTAAGCTCCTAGATTGATGACAGGCTTGAATTAATTTACCCATTACTGGCTGCCCTCTCTTCATTGTCTCATTTTTGTACTCTTTTTCCTTTACTTCTCAAATAAATACTTGAATCTTTGTCTTATAATAAGGTGGGGTCTACTTCTGAGGGACTCAAATCCAAATAGGCTCTATAATTTTCCTTTCAGTTTTTTATCTTCATATTAGCATTTTATAACAACCCTGATAACTTGGGAGCCATATCAGTTCTTTCAACATATCAACCTGTTTCCTTCATCAACCTATTCACTCTTATTTAATCTAAAGAGTTAAAGTTTAGCATTAACTACAAAGATGGCGTATCACACCTGTCCTATTTGGTGTTTTACCTGTAGTTAAACAAGCCTTGTCAGTTGAATGGGAGATTCAGGGACCTCAGCAAGCCCTCAACCTTCCTTCAAAAATACCATTTCCACAACAAACCATTTTAAGGAGAGCATGCTTCATGTCCCTCTTAGGGGGGGACTACATAAATTATTATAAAAGTTAAATTCTGTAGCTCCAGTAAGTTTACAGCAAAAAGGCTGCTCACAGTACTCAGATGTCTGACCATATTTGCCCAGTAGAGTTGAAAGTGCCAATTAACACTTGGAAGCCTGGAAACTCTTCTGAAGATAAAAGGTGATCCCTAGAACATCCTGATAATCCAAGCCTATACTTCTGCTAGGAGCTGCTGTGGCTCTTGTGGTATATATTTCAGCATGAGGACTCAAAGGGGGAAAAGCCACAAAATCTGTGGCTGCCACTGCTGTAAGAGTGTGGGCTCCTCCTATTGTTCTAATGAGGGGGCTTAACATCTCAAATTGGAACTGGGAATACATTTTCCATAAAAGCGTAGGTTTTGTTTTATAATAGGAATGGCTATGGCAGCGGTTCTCAACCTGTGGGTCGCGACCCCTTTGGGGGGTCAAATGACCCTTTCACAGGGGTTGCCTAAGACCATCGGAAAACCACTATATAATTACATATTGTTTTTGTGATTAATCACTATGCTTTAATTATGTTCAATTTGTAACAATGAAAATACATCCTGCATATCAGATATTTACATTACGATTCATAACAGTAGCAAAACTACAGTTATGAAGTAGCAACGAAAATAATTTTATGGTTGGGGATCACCACAACATGAGGAACTGTATTAAAGGGTCGCGGCATTAGGAAGGTTGAGAACCACTGGTCTATGGTTAATATATATTTTTTCAAATTAGGTTTTAATCACCAAAGTGATTAGTGGTAATTTTCACATTGACTAAATGAAGCTGAAAAACAAAATTCATCAAAACAAGTGTCTTTGGGGCTATTGTCTACTTTTCTAGAATTTTCACATTTCTTTCCATGTAAAAGTGCCAAGTCTGAATTCCAACTTAATAGGAGTGAATCTGTTTCTATTCCTATAATATGCTTTAAAAAGTTAGAACTTAATATATGGTTATACTTGGGTTATAATTAATATGTCAAATAGTTTTCTGTCTTGACTATACTGTATTTTTTACTGCTTTTTAAAAGTTATTGCTTAATTCATTTTAATGGCCCTTATTTAAAACATCTCATTTGAATTATCAAAAGGCAAATTATGCATAATTAAATAAAAAGCATTTTATCATCTATGAGAAATTGTTTGCCTCTACATTGGCACCAAGTGGAGAGAAACCATTTTATTACTTAAGGCAACTCAATTTTAGATAAGCTGTAAGAAATTCCATTGTTTTAGCACTCACTTCAGCTTGGTTTGTTGGTAAGTACATATTGATCTAAGCAATGGAAATTTGCTTAATAGGAAAGCCATCTTCAGATACAATGCCTAAGCCCAAGAGAACTCCCAAACAGAAGAAAGTAGAGACTATGAACTCTGACTCGGATTCAGAATTTGGCATTCCAAAGAAGACTACAACACCAAAAGGTGAGGATTATTTCTGTGTAACCCTCAAACGTGCCACGTGGAAAACATTTAGTCTCCTCTACCCACTGAAATTAGAAAGACTGGGTGTACCTATTTTAAGTTGTTTTACTCCTCAATGAGCAGTTTAAGAATCAGTGCTGAATTAATTCAAAGGGAAGTATAGCAATTTGCATACCTAGGTATGGTTCAAAGACCCCCATGCAGTGGTCTCATTGGAAGTAGTTATTAAAATCGTAGATGAGAGTGTAACACCCACTGGAGTAGGTTGGAGCTAGGACTCCGAGAGCAGAGCTTTTTGCTGATCTAGGAAGTGAAATAGCTGTGCTCAGGTAAGAGATGACTTTCTATAAGGGTAGCTGTTCAAACTTTGATCCAACTGACTGATCGTGTTTATTTCTAAAAGTGGCAGTTAGGATAAGGATACAGACCTATAGGGAAGCAAGAGAGAATAACAAAGTGGAAAAGAAACATTGTGATTGGGGAGGTCAATACTTAAGGTGTGCATGGTTTAAAACCTTTATAAATACACTAGTGACCCAGTGCACGGATTTGTGAACATTGAAAAGAAATTAGAAGGTGGCTGGTGTGATGGGCCGGACATATCTTGGAACCAACCTCCTGTGGTCCCTCCCTGGCTGTCAGTGCCATGGCTCGAAAGGTGTCTGCAGAGAGAGTGGGGTCCTCCGGCAGGTGGGGTCCCTTGGCCTGGCCTGCGGGGATCGGGCCAAAACCAGCTCGCCGACATCCCCTGAGGGGTCCCGGAGTGCAAGAGGGCACTCTGCAAAGTTGCTGTTGTACAGGGTGTGGATCACAAATGCAAGTGTGCAGTAAACCAAATTCGGGTCCAACAGTGTCCCAGCAACAACAAAACCCACTGCCGATGTGGAATCATGCTTTCTCCTCTATGGTTTTGGGGTGCATCACCTGAGAACCACCACTGCCAAGTCACAGCAGCTACTGTGTTGAGGGTATGCCCCTGGTGGTCAGTGCACGTCATAGCAACTGGTCATTCCACTGTTCAGTAGATTTGCATATTAGCCTATTATAAAGGATGTGCCAATTCATTGATTAATTTGATCAAGTATCTAGCTATCTTTTCTTATAATCTAGTTCAGTGGTTCTCAACCTTCCTAATGCCGTGACCCTTTAATATAGTTCTCCATGTTGTGGTGACCCCCAATTTCATTGTTACAAATTGAACATAATTAAAGCATAGTGATTAATCACAAAACAATATGTAATTATATATGTGTTTTCCGATGGTCTTAGGCGACCCCTGTGAAAGGGTCGTTCGACCCCTGAAGGGATTGCGACCCACAGGTTGAGAACCGCTGATCTAGTTGGTCATAGCTGTTGAAGAAATTTTAAAAATTTAGAATTGCAATTTAGTTCCATTTATTTTTTTACTCACTGGAATCACTAGAATGGAGAACATTTAAACATTACCCTTTCCTCCTCCAATGATGAGAATAAGAAATTAGGTAGATGAAAGAAAATAGGCTGCATGTGGTAATTCTAGGTCTGAGAAGGAATAAAGATTTGATAGATTATTTCCCTGAGGGTTTTATTCTAAGATTGTGCTACTTAAAGTGGGATCTGCAATTGGTGGTTACTAATGCGCAATAAGTAAAATTTAGAGTAAGGATTTAAACCTTTAACATAAATTATAACGTATTACATTTTAAAAAATATTGGTCTATGACAAATTAGAAACTAAAGTGTTTTTTTCATCACAATTTAAAAAAACACTTTTTAAAGAGATTTTCTTTTCAGGTGCAAATATTTTCTTTCATGTATTAGGAGCTTGGTCATTAAAATTTGTCATGAGGACCTTCCAGTTAGTTTAAATATATTTGTGAAATACATTTAGTCTTGTCAACTCCAGAACTGAAATGATGCTGATGAATTGTTTCTACATCATTCATGTTAAGACATCAGGGGATGCCAAAGAAGTAATGTTTTTATCCTTTTATATTGCACTTAACCTTGGGTGAAAAAACCTTTTGTATAATTTTAAGGTAAAGGCCGAGGGGCAAGGAAAAGGAAAGCATCTGGCTCTGAAAATGAAGGTGATTATAACCCTGGCAGGAAAACAACCAGACCACCAAGCAAGGTAACCAGAAGCATCTGCGTAATGCTGGTTTTGTTTAAGATAATCTATAACTGGCTTAGTTTGACTATTAGTATAATGTCTTACAATAACTTTAAACCTAGCATACTTATCCTTAGGGGACTTGTATATGGGTAAAGAATTATCCAAGTCTAGATCGATATAATTAAGGCTATTTCTTGGATCAAGTATGGTATAAATTATATACTATCTGTCTAAAATATTACTGTTTTCAGACCAAATAAAGGCTATTTCTTTATTTGATCAGGGCTAATTTAATCTTTAACTTACATTTTCCCAATTAGTCTCACCAGAAGTATACTATCTCTATTAGGTTAATGAAAGCATCAAATATCCCCCTCTTTTTCCTCTGTCGTCCATTAAAATTTTAAAATACAAACATAGGTGATTTTAGCTTTATGTTGCTTTCACACTGACCTCTTCCATCCAGTTTTCTTCTACACCTCTGGTCCATCTCAGTGACTCTTTTTATAAACATAGTGTGCAGTACATACTGTGCATAAGTCTTGTTTTCCTCTCATGAATTCATAGGTACTTACAAATTAGACAATTTGAATTTTTACTAATCTGGTCATGGTGCATATTTGCTGAGTGATATATAAATTCTGAAAGAAATAAGTAATGATAAGTAATACAAGATTACTAGGGTGGCAAATTATTATACTTAATCCTTTTTTTTCCCTTCATGAAAATGAATAAGTAACTGGTCTTACCCTTGAGTTAACATTACAGTTCTAATTTTAAAAGCACCATTATATATAATTCTCAAATGTAAGTGAAGTGTAAGGAATGAGTTCTTTTTAACACTTGTCTTTTGTTTTCTTCTTTTCTTAACTTTGGGCTTTTGAATCTATTGTTTTAGAAACTGAAGAAAACATCTTTTGATCAGGATTCAGATGTGGACATCTTCCCATCAGACTTTGCTTCTGAACCACCTTCTCTGCCACGGACTGGTCGAGCTAGGAAAGAAGTGAAATATTTTGCAGAGTCTGATGAAGAAGATGATGTTGATTTTGCTATGTTTAATTAAGTGCCCAAAGAGCACAGAAACATTTTTCAACAGATAACTTGTGTTGTCTTTTTGTCTTCTCTGTCTCAGACTTTTGTACATCTGGCTTATTTTAATGTGATAATGTAATTGATGGTTTTTTATTGTGGTAGGCCTTTTAACATTTTGTTCTTAACATACAATTTTATGCTCTTTTTTACTCATTGAAATGTCATGTATTGTCTGATTGGCTTGTAGTATTGTTATAGACTGCCGTGCATTAGCACAGATTTTAACTGTCATGATTGCAGACAACAGACCTGCTTTTTGAAATGAAATTTAAACATTAAAAATGGAACAGCTTTCTGTCTCTTTACTGAAAATGAAAGTGTAGTGAAAGCTCCCACACACCTTTAAAATAAATATATTTTATTCTTTGCCAGGAGACTCCATGGAAAAAGGTAAACAGTATATGAACATAGAAAGCATTGTTAAACAATCTCAATGTACAAACAGAGCCAGTGAAAATACATCACAGACTTGCTAAAATATAAAAAAAAACAACACCCACTAGTGCTTAAATGAAAACTAAGAAACTGACACTTGTATCTGTTAACCACTCTACCACAGCTTTCACTCTGCTTCATAGTGATTGAACAAGGTCAAAGAATACTTATTCTCTGCCCATGCCATGGGAGTTAGTGTGAGCCCCTGGGCATCAAGAAGGCTGGAAAAACCCCCAATATCAGGCATGAATCGGGAAGGACCCTAGTTACATGGTACAGGTGGTAGACCAGCCTGTTAATTATACCAGAAATTATACCAAGAAATTTCCCTAATGGCTTGTGAATAGGTAAACAAAAATTTACTAACACTGAAAAGTGTTTTTGCCTTGGAGGCTATCATTACTGTAAAAATGTATCTTTTTTTTAAAAAATCGTGTAGTTGTCATTAAACAAGTAATAAACCACTTTTAATTTAAAGTGACATTAACAGTTGAACAATGACATTTGATTAACTGAACTGGCAGTTACACTGATACAGAATTCTCTTCTGCTAGTACAGTGAATTGTATATTTTTACTGGGCAACATGAAATCAAGAGATGCAGTTTGAAGCATCAGAAAGAGCAAGGACAAGCTTCCATACTAACTAAATTAGAGTATCTTTAGCCTTATCTTGTCCTACTGTACAATAATCCCATTTCCTTACCTTGATGTCTTGATTATTCTGTGAAGGCAAGACAGTTACCTTTTGAACCTTTCTTAGCTGGACATGTACAGTAGTCTGTTCCATAACCTTGGTGTCTTGGCTATTTTGAGTATGCAAGACAAAAGGAAAGCACCAAACATACAGTATAGAAAGAACAGCCATATTTCTGTATGTACAAAGTCTTTAGAAACTTAACCAGGGCGTAATCATTTTGACGGGGTCTTTGCCATGCAAACTTGAGTGTTCAAAGAAGAAAATAGAAGCTTTTAACTGGTTTCTGGTTGCATGAAATGGCTGATGTTTAGAATTTAAAAAGTTTGTATTTCTAGGTAAGTTAGACAGTGAGGAGTATAGTATATATGGATACATACGAAAACATCTTGGTCCTTCTTGAGTTTTAATATATTTTCAGTCCAAAAACTAAGCAGCAGTAAAAAGGTATTTTTTTTTTCCTTTCTTGCATTTTAAATCCCGGAACTGAAGGTACTGGGGAATGTTTGAAGTAGCTGGGAAGTGTCTTATTGCACCAGTGGTGACTGACTGACACCGCTGTTTTCCACTGAGCTGGGTGAGATGCTGGGACTGTGCTCTGCTGTGTTCCCACTTGAACTTGGGGTCAAGGGTTCATGTCCTTCAGAATTCTCCAGCATTTCCTGAATGAGAGGTGGCATTGATCCAGGAATTTCCATTTTCAAGGTAATTACACGTTCTGCACCTTTTAAAGAGAGATAATAGGAAAATGGTAG